CTCTTTCTCTCTCTCTCTCTCTCCTTCTCTCTCCTTCCCTCCCTCCCTCCCTCCCTCTCTTCCTCTCTCTCCCTCTCTCTCCCTCTTTCTCCCTCCGTCCCTCTCTCCCTCTCTCTTCCTCTCTCCCCCTCCCCCTCTCTTGTCTCACCAACCCCCCCTTGCTTCCCATGCAGACCCCCTGCCAGGATCCTCTGAGGAAATAGATTCTTGACGTTTCTCCATTAATTCAAGAACGCCCGTAAAGGTTGCACTCTGAACGCCGGGAGCAGCTGCGGTGAAGGCGAGCTGCGGTCCCTGGGGAGGCGGCCGCTCCCTCTTGGCGCAGCAGCCTTAATGACTTCAAATGCCTCGCTGTGCATTTACATCCTCATTTAAATACTTGGTAGAAAAATAATTACACTGAGGTGTTTGATGAGATGAAATTTGATCTCAGCAGATGGAGCAGGGCTTCCCCTTTCATCAGCAGGGAAACCAAGTGTCATTTAAATGAAAATCTTCCGGAAATCTCTTTATTCCTAAGTTTGTTGCCAATATCCCTAAGGAAATGCCTCCATCAGAAAGGCTTGCTGGTGCTGGGCAAGGGTGCCAGTTCCAGCAGTAACTGTCATCAGGTACAGCAAGAATTGTCTTCCACCCCCATTTTCGTTACCGCTTCCTGTGGCTTTCAGGGTTTCACTTGAAGTAATACACAAATGAGAATTTGAAAATGGAAGTTTTCAGGCAGTGTGTTAGATCCAGCTCTGTGCGCTGGTAACGCCATCAGAGAGCGCCAGCCACCCCGGCGTCGTTGGCCTTGCGGTACTCGACGGTGTGGCAGCGGGTGTAAGAGACAAGTGGCGTGCTCACCATGCTGCCAGCCCAAGCTGGCATCTCGCGCGACGAGGCACTTAAGTTCCCAGTCTCTGCGGAAGCGGGTGTGGGTGGGGAGAATGGAAGCAGAGCCATCCTTGTTTCCATGGAGGCAACAGCCGAGCCTTAGCACTCAGTGAAGGACTGAATTTCAAGGGAGCTGATTCTTTACAGGTACTTGCTGCTGAAAAATAATTTCCCTGCCAGAATGCACTGCGAGTGCATTAGCCTGACCTCACTTTTTAATGTTTATTTTACAGTAAACTTGCCAGGCATGATCCTGAACACACAGACCTGGATTTCCTATGGAATTTTCCTGAGACTGTGCAATCTGTGTCCTGACGGTGGGAAGACCAGTAACCCTGACAGGCTAGAGCTGCTGCTACCCGGGGAGCATTTCAGGCTGTGGCTTCCATTGTGACCCAAAGCGCCATTTGTGTCTGGTCATCTTATTGGCCACAGCAGGCTCAGTGGCAAGTCAAGAGGCGATTCAGGGGGCAGCATATTTCAGTGCAATGCTCTGCGGGGCAATCTGGCAGCTTGATCATTTATCTTACAGCGTGGGCTGGAGGGCCAGCTGTATTCGCTGTGGTGGGCAGGAGGGAAGCGGGCCAGCTGCGCTCTCTGCGGCTAGTGGCCAATGGAAGGCATCCGGCCTCCTGCGCCTCAGCTGGAGCCCTTGTTCCCTGAGGCCAGTGATAACTGGGCTTCCTGACACTCCTGTTAGCCCTTTGTTTTGGGAAAACCAGAAGAGTCCAGGGGGATAGAGTGAAGGCAAAAAAGAACAAACACAAAGCAAAATAATGTATTTACGATATATTCTTTTTAAAATAAAATAAATAACTAAAAAATCAGGATTAAAGGAAATAGCACTTATGCATAAGCTCATAGGGGAAGGATGCCCAAGAGGACCAACAGTGAATCTACACAGTACAGACCACACACAGTCTTGTCCAGAAAAACTCCAAGTCCTTCCTGTTACACTCTCCGCGATGGGTGAGGGTTCATAAAGTGATTTGGGATAAAGTGATGTGTCTTTGGATGGACATTTTTCTTTGTTTAGTTTTTTGGGACTGTTCTCAGCATGCACCCTGAACACTAGTTTTCAAATGGACATTTTATCCCAAGCTTTTCCTTGGTGATTTGCTGAGACGCAGATGGGAACACAAGCATTTCGAGATCGATTTCAGTATATTTCAGTAGTTCAGCGATCATTTCTCAGGTGTGTGTAGTATTTTTTTTAAATACCCTTCTCTTATGTGGTATGGATTACACAAATCTACCTTCCCACAGCCATTTTGGCTCCATTTTTAAAAGAATTTAATGCCATGGCATAAGATAATTTTTCTGAATAGAAGTATTTTCATTTCAAGATATCACAGTGGTTTGACAGCTACTCTTCTGTAGTCTAAACCACTCCATTGTCTCTCTCATCGAACACAGACTTGCTCCTTGCGATCTCAGGTTTTATTGCATCTTACCTTCTCTGGGGACATGGTTCTTCAGGATCTCTTTTGGTCAGGGTGGATCAAGGTGACTCTCACCAGCCCACCATTGGTTCTTCATTTGATCTTGGCATACTGAAGGCTCAGAAGGAGGCCTGTGTTGACATAAGAAACATCCAAACCTGAGAATTTTTTGAGTTTATTTGAGCCAAACTCACAACAATTGCCAGGAAGCAAAATCCCAGTGGGTTGAGAAAACACTCGGAGAATGACAAAGGAGGAGAATTGAGGAGGATTGCATGAAATCCATTGGTGGTAGGTCGATTAAGGGGGCAGGAGAAAGCTGAGTGAAGAAATACCTGGGATTAGATAAAGGTAAAGTGAAGAGACACATACTTTTACATTGGTGGGTACAGGATAGCTGATTAACATGTACATAGACATGGTATTTGGGGAACAACATAACCCTGAGGGGTTCCGTGGTCTCCCGCTCTGGCGCAGCAGATGTGCTGTAAGAGGTCTGGAAAAGGAGATTATTCTGACATTTCAAAGGCCTGTTATCTTAGAATCAAAAAGACAATAGACAGGCTCACGTCAGTAAAGAGTGACCTTTGTCAAGGAAGCTGCAGGCCTAGGCCCTGACCGGCTTTTAGTTCGGGATTTGTATGTTCAGACCATCCTGTATGGCCACTTTCCGTCTGAGTTTGTGGGGCCGCCGTGCTGGCCTCCCGAGCTTGCCAGACTTAGTGTGTGGCCCCTTTTCGTCCACAGTTCGTAGTGTTTAAGAGGCAGTCGGATAGCTGACCACCCGCTAAGTTGGTTGGTGTAAGAGATGCCATTCCTGTTTCTTTTCCAGATACTTAATGCTACAAGTGAGCTGTCCAGAGCCACTGCCTACCAGTCGGTCCGCCTCCTCTCGGTGTCGCTCAGCCAGGCCGGTCAGGAGCTGGATGACCTCGCCGGCGCTGACTTGGAGTGGTCTAAGCCCACCCCAGGTGAGCGGGCGCCGGCTGTGCTGGGCCTCAGTGCCCAGGGGCAACCTGTGGTCCGGAATTTGGTTCTTACCTATTTATTATGACTCAACCCTCCTTTTTCATTCTTATTGGCTCTCCACCCTATTCCTGATGGTAGCCGTTCCCTAGGTTTATTCCCAAGACTCCACTGCTGAGTCGTCTCCCTTGCTGTGAGCAAGTGACTCTGCCTTCAGCTTCACTGAACACATTGAGGCCATTCAGCGTGGCCTCTCCAGCGGCTCTCCTCCATGCCCAGTGTTCTCTTCTCTTCTCGTTCTCGCTTTGTTTCCCTGTCGGAACACAACTGCCTGGTGTCCTCTCATGGCTACCTCTGACGTGGCTCCTACTTCCTCCTGGGCCTTCTTTGCCCATCAGGCTCTATTTCTCCCCCCACTGTCCATTCAGCAGGAGATCCTTATATCCTGCCACTCTGTGTGGCTCTGTACTAGGCCCCAAGAGGAGAGCAGTGAGCAGGACACAGTCACTACTCTCAGAGCTTAGCTTTTCTTAAATTATAATAAAACAAAGCAAACCTGAACATAACACCCTTCCATCACACAGGAGAAGACTATGCACAGAGGATTGTGGGAGCACCAGGAGGAGGCCAGTCTTTATTAGGCTTTTTATGATCTGCCTTTCATTTTATATCCATGTTTCTCCTTTTTATTAACTGTAGCCCCACCATCTAGAAGTGCCTGGCACCTAGTAGGCGCTCAGTCAATTTTAATTGACTTGAATTCCCGCTGTTACACTGTCGACTTTGTGAGTGCCAGGACTATACTGAATTTGGCTCTTGAGTAGCGCCAAGCCACTATCAGTGAGTGAGATGTGGTAGTTCTTTAATGCGATTGGGCTGAGTGACCCTGTCAGTTGCGCGTGTGTGTGCAAGGTCCCTTTTCATCAGCTTTCTTCTAACAGGGAAATTGCCGCTCTGGTCTGTGTTGGTTACTGGCCGTGTGGACACACGAGCTAGACTATGCTGAAAACCTAAACACCGGTTTTGTTGCTTTCCCTTTCAGCCAACCTTCCCATCACTTATTTGTCCATGTTTTCATTCCCATAGCTATAAAACTGGGTATAAAACTACCCAGGAAAAAAGACATTTCTCCTCTACATGCTTCCTGCTGGTTTATTCCCTTCCATGGAGCTCAGTGGGCCCAGTGGCGAGGTGAAAGTAGAGGTGAGGGTGGCATAGGAGCCCAGTGGCCTGTCTGCCCCTCACCTATTGAGGAGGACTGTTGGCATTCCCAGGAACCTGTGAGTGAGAGGGGAGCAGGGGGGAGGTCTCCGTGCCTGGCGAGGGAGCTTGGGCTCTGCTAATGAGGTAATTGCCTCTCAGTCTTATCTCCTTTTGGAAATTCTTAGAAAGGCCCGCAAGGGATGATCCCCACCCATTCTTCTCATCTAGACCCATCTTGTACCTATAGTTTGCAGCCCTCTACTTTTTACCTGACTCTTCAACTGTTTTTTTGAACAGAAAACTTAGGCCATGGAAGTTTCGAGTACATGTCAGCAGTGTGCTGGCTCTTTGGGCGTTACCTGTACGACACTCTGCAGTATCCCATTGGGCTGATCTCCTCGTCATGGGGTGGGACACCCATTGAAGCCTGGTCATCTGAAAGGTCACTGAAAGCCTGTGGGGCCCCTAAGCAAAGGTAAGAAAGCATCCTCCAGTCTGGGAGAAAGCCTGCCAGCAAATTATCTAAAAGAGAAGGATCATGGTCTCCTTTGGGGAGTCAAGTGTGTGCTGAATGTCCAAATATGTATTAACTTATTCCAGGAACAGGCAAGGTATTATTTTCACTGTCATCACCGCCACAGCCATCTAAAAACATTACAAGAAGCAATTGTGATTCTTTTTCTTAGTAATAATTATAGCTGATACTGAAAGCTTTATGCTGGAAAATGTTATAACCAGTTTATATATAGTAACTCATTTGATACAACAGTCTCTCGAAATGTAGATACTATCAAGGTATTGTGGCTCAGGATACTAGGTCTGAGAGCAGTATCAGGATGGGTAAGTGGCAAAGCCTGGTTTCAGTGTCCATGCTCTTAACCACCATCCTGTGTTGCTTATTAGAATAAACGGTATAACAGGAAGAACAAATATACATGTAATTGAAGAGACGTGTAGTATAGTGACTGTGGAAGCACACTTAGGAAAAACTGGCTCAGGAAGAATGCTTGGTGGCGGGGTGGGGGTGGGGGACGGGTTACTTAATAAAATCCTGCTACTCATGCTAAGGTAGAGATCAAATACGTGAACTGCTTCCACAGACATTGTCTTGTCAGTCCTCTGGGAGCCTCTGGGAGGAGGGTGGACTTAGCTTTTGTGCAGCTTGGGAAAAGCTGTGCCTGTGTGAGGATACTCAGTTTGGGAGCAGAAAGAATCAGCTATGGGAAAGCAGGCGGGATCCAAAGCAGGCTTCCCAGATCTCTGAGGACATGGAAGGGGCAGTTCCAAGGGTGTGGGGAAGTGGGTATAAATTCATACAATTATTCTGCAGAGAAATTTAGCAACACATTGAAAGCCTTAAAAACATGTATCTTTTCACCCAGGAATTTCATTTCTGGGAATTTATCTTAAGGGAATACTTAAGTCTGTATGCAGTGATTAAGCTCTAAGAAAGAGAATCACGGCATTGCTTATAAGAGCAAAAAGTTTCAAACAATCTAAGTGTCCATTCATTGAGTACTAGTTAAATTAACTTATTGCCTGTGTGAGAGACTTGGAATAAAATATTTCCTCTCAGTTAAAGTGGTTTTAATGACCTTATCTGGAAACTGGGATGGCCCACTCTGAACTCACTGAAAACTGACTGATACATTTATTCTGGGAAGAACCTGGAGGTGAAATTCAGAGACTGTTCACGTCTCCACGTGAACCAGAGTGGTGCAATTTAATTCTTTGTTGCTTTCATCAGACGTGAAAGCTGGATAGACACCCAGCTCAGAGATCATAACGTGATCAATTGCTAGCTCTCTCATGACCCTTGTGCACCTTACTGATTTCAGGTTCATTTCATCGGATTCTGTAAGTGGTCCCAGGGCATACTCTGTTCTCTGGAATGCCATGATCCATCCACTACATAATATGACTCTGAAAGGTGTGATATGGTACCAGGGTGAGTATTCAATTTGCTATTTCTCCATTGTATTAGTTAGCTTTGCTGCATAACAAACCATCCTAGAATTTAGCTCACTATTCTGTAGTCTAGCAGGGTAGTTTTTCCTCTCTGGGCTGCTTTGACTAATTTTTGCTGGAATCTCTTACGTGTCTTTGGCCACCTGGCATGTCGTCTGATGGCTGGGTGACTTAGAATGGCCTCTCTTTCATGTGTGTTGACTGGGAGCTGTGTATCTGCTGCGGCCCCATGGTTCTCACGTGGCCTCCCATCCTTCAGCAAACTAGCTCAGACTTACTGTTTACATAGCAGTTTCAGGGTTCCAGGTGTATAAAGAGAGAACAAACCCCCAAGCCAAAGCTGAAGCACTTTGCAGGTCTGCTTGCATCTGTTTGCTGCTGCCCCGTTGGCCCGAGCAAGGCCAGTGCAGAGAGCCAGGAAGGCCCGCTCCCTAAGGGCATAGATAGAGGTTGGGGAATATTATGTGGCCGTTTTTGCATCTACTGCAAACTCCTCACACAACTTGGACTGTTTCCAGGGGAGTCCAATGTAGATTTTAACAGGGACCTATACAATTGCACATTCCCTGCACTCATTGAGGACTGGCGCCAAACCTTCCATCGTGGCTCTCAGGGGCAGACAGAGCGGCTCTTCCCATTCGGATTCGTCCAGGTATGTGTTGAGGGGAGGAGAGCTTATGGACCTTGCCGTGGGGATGTGCTGTTGAGGTCTCTTTCCTGGAATCCATATTTCTTTTTTCACCCTCATAGCCGCTGATCAAGAACTGAATGTAAGACTTAATTCATCTGTGTTCACTGATGGGACAATGAAATCTTTTTTAAAAGTTAGTAAGTAACTAATATTTCTTCCTGTTGAAAAAGCATTACATGTTTATTAAAGAAGTATTAAAACATGTAATGCTTTTTCAACAGGAAGAAATATTAGTAATTATTTATAATTCCATAATCCAGAAATAGGCAGACTTTTCTGCTCGTTCTTTTTGAAATAGGATCCATACTGTAGTACGGTACCATCTCTTGCTTTTCTTTCTCATAATGTCATATTGTGAACATTTTTCTCATGCCAGTAAATATTAATCTTAGGCACAATTTATAATGATTACAGAGTATTCTGAAATATGGTTCTATTATAACTTATTTAACTAGTCCTTACTAGATGGGCACTTAGGTTGCTTTACCCGTTTTGCTTTTATAAGCAGCAGCATGCTTCTGTTCCTTGTAGCTAAATCTTTACCTGCACGCTTAATTATTTCCATAACATAAATTCCCAGAAATGAAATTGCTAGGTTAGATTGAATCCTCTTTAAGGCTCTAAACATGTTCCCAAATTTCTCTGTAGGAATTTATGGGTTTGTATAAATGTATACCCTTGGCAGCAATGTGGGGGAGTGTTCACTTCCCCACGCCCTCCCTAACTTGGCGGTATCCCTGCCACTCCTTAGAATGGTCCTCGTTCTCAAACTCCCAGCCCACTGCACATGCTCTTTGCCTGAAATACTCTTTCTCACCCATACTTTCCTAGCAAACTTTTAAATATCCTATAGGTCTCAGCCTTGATATCAGTTGGAAGCATACTTCTAATTAGTGGTAACTAGTCAAAAAGATTCTCTCTCAGCCTTGTCCAAAAGAAATAAACATATTTAACAAAATTCATAATTGCCTTGTCTCACCTGTTAACACCTAGACTTAAGACCTAGACCTTAAGACCTAGACTTTTTAGTAGGATGGTAGTTCTGACTTTGCTGGAACATAGGAAATTAAACAAGTAAAATGTTATGAAAACAAGGCCCAACTCACCAGGTAATGATGGAATGGGCTTTGATATTTGAACTGGACATAACACTTCCAGACATCCTCTGGATGTCCACTATCCCTTCTTCCCACCATCTGCCCGTCTCCTCTACCTTGACCTACTTCACCATTTTTTTTTTTTTTTGATAAAGATTTTTATAGACACTCTTTGCACTTATAACTACTTTACAATCATTTTCTTTCTTACATTTATTGTGACTTTGAAACAAGATTATTCTGCTCATTATTATCAAAATAGCAACTCCTGTCACAGTTCTGTGTTACTGTTGGCGGAAACTACATTTGGATTTGGAGGTACTTTTTTTGTCTCTTAGCCTGTGTACATGGCAATTTAAATGTGACTCCAGCCAATTCAAGCTAGAAGTGTGTGCTGAATGCTTATGATGTGCTATGTACCATGTGAGGTGCTGGAAGCAGCACTCATCAGAGAGACCTTGTCCTGGCACTTAGGCCTTACAGTTTAGTAGAATCCCCTTAGCCTCTGGGGTCTAACTTTACACCATCAACAAAAATACGTTGGTTGCATGCAGAAAACTGAGACTATAACCATCCACCTTCAAAGGGAAATATCAGATCGGAGCTACCTTCAGATTGAGGCTAGTCTGCCTGGATTCTGATCCCAGCTCTAACATGTCTTTAGCTATGTGATTTTGAACAAAATATCAAACGCCTTTGATATTTTAAATATTGAGTTAATCCATGCAAAACCTGGCACCTGCCAGATGATGTGTTTGTTTTTATTAATGAAAGGAGTCAGAAAATCGGGAGGGACAGTGGTCTGTAAGGAAAGATGAAGTGCTGGGTTTGCAGTGATGGCTGCACTGACTGGAGCACAGTTAGAGGTGAAGGACCAAGCTCAGCGCATAGACCAGGGCCACACACGTGTCAGAGATGATTCGTCGGGAGGTGACCGGAAGCATGGTGGGGAAAGAGAACAGGAGGCTGGGGCCAGGAGTCCCTAGGATGATGCTTTCTTAGAAGGGGTTTGGAGGACCAGTGGAACAGACTGAAAACTACTGCAATATTTTATTTGTAAAGTCCTCCGAATGTGGCCACCTCTATATTCTTTGGTATTAAATGCCTTCAGAAGCAGCAGTGTTTCTACTAATCACCATGGGAGACTGAACAGCGCCCTGCTGCAGCGCAGATCAGGAAAACAATTTGGTTGTGGAGGGTGCTAGTGCCCCCACGTGGCCAGTGTGCACTAGAGCATTAATGAAATGGGGTGGAGGATTGCTGCAGGAGTTTTCCGCAAAGCTGCCATTTCCAGAAGCCTCCCTTGGCATGAGTGACTGTTGTTAGCATTTCTCCCTGTTGGGCTTCAGGCTGATACCTACCCCAGGTCTTTCTGGTCGCTTTGTGGCTGTGATCCCCATCATGGCACTGACCGGTGAACATGGTTCCTCCTTCAGTCTCCTGGGTGCGTGTGGGAAGAAGTGGGTTGACTCGCAGATCTTTCTCTTCAATTTTCTAGTTTTCATTAGATACCATTGTGAAACTTCAGCACCTTTTATCATTTCATAGACTAAAGCCAATTTGCATAAGAGATTTTAATAAGAGAATTGGAAATATCGCCTACATTGCATGTCATACCTGTTGACATAAGCATCCAGCCCTGGCTGGGTGGCTCAGTTGGTTGGAGCGTCATCCCGAGCACCAAAAGGTTGCAGGTTCAGTTCCCCTTCAGGGCACATACCTAGGCAGCGAGTTCCATCCCTGGCTGGTGCATGTACGAGAGGCAACTGAAAATGTTTCTTTCTCGCATGGATGTTTCTCTGTCTCTTAAATCAATAAACATATCCTAGGGCGAGAATTAGAACAAAGTGCAAACCTGTGGAGAATTTCCATGAGTTTATTTGAATGAAACTGAAGACAGTTGCTGGGAAGTAAAGTCTAAACGGATCTAGATTTGTTCCAGAGAATGGCAGTTTTGCAGCTTGTTTTATGCATTAGCAAGGAGGAGATGTAAGGGGGTTGCAGGAAACCCATTAGTGGTAGGGTAAGGGGGCGGGAGAAAGCAGTGGGGAAACCTCTAGGGTTGGATAAAAAGTAAGCTGGAGAGACACCTACTTCTCCATTGGTGGGCACAGGATAGTTAATAACTAACATTTGCGGCCATAGGCATGGTATTCAGGAAACAAGATAACACTGAGGGGTTCTGTGGTCTCCTGCTCTGGTGCCGTAGATGTGCCTTAAGAGGTCTGGATGTGGAGATCACGCTGACATTTCAAAGGCCTGTGACCTTAGATGCAAAAAGACAATAGACAGGCTCGCGTCAGTAAAGAGTGACCTTTGTCAAGGAAGCTGCAGGCCTAGTACTGGACTACCTGCCATGACCTGCGCTTAGTTCAGGATTTTTATGTTCAGACCATCCTGTGTGGTTACTTCCCATCTCTGAGTTTGTAGGGCCGCCGTGCTGGCCTCCCGAGCTTATCAGGCTTAGTATGTGGCCCCTTTTCGTCCACACACCCTCATTCCACATCCTTCCTGCTGTTACTGCAGCTTCTCCAGCTCTTTCCTGGTGAGTTTCTAGTCTTTCTGGGACAACTCAAGGAGCAGGAGATGTCCTCTATCCAAAGCTTTGCTTGGCCACGTTTGTAGGGATGATCTCGGGTGCTTCCTGGGCCATGCGAGTAACAAGACTGGGAGGAATAGTCTGTTCCTAATGCAGCTCCTCTGATGGGACAGACATTTTACAGTGACAGTGTGGTTGCTCACCCAGACTCTTTCCCAATTTCCAGTTTGACCTACTGTTAGATCATGGTTCATAAAGAGATATAATAGGTTGATGCCTCTCACTGGCTGGAACTAGGGCCAAGAATAAGCTGCCATCTAAAGCAGAGGACAGGGTGATACAAACATCAGAGTAGGAAGGAAGGAATAGGGGGACCACATGCATTGTAGTGACGTTAAAGAAATTTCCTAGGAGCTTCTGCCCTTTGCCGGAGTAGGAGCCTATAAACTTTTAATCCAGATGAAAGCAAATTCTATGTACTCAGCATGTATACAGAATCCATGACTTAAAATAACATAATTATAGCTCACATGTCTGGGTAGCGGGGGTTGATTGGCCTTGGCTGAGTTCCACCGGGCACTTTCACATCTCTGTGGGCCAGCTGGAGGCTCTGCTCTGGTCCAGGCTTAGCTGAATTGGATTAGATGAGGCAGCTCTGTTCCACAGCTGCCATTCTCTCGAGAGGAGTGGGCTAGCCCAAGTATGTCGTTCTCATGGTGGTAGCATAAATGCCAAAGAGTAAGTGGAACCATGCTAGGCCTCGAGGCCTGGGCTAGGAATTGACACACCGTAGCTTCTGTTTTATCGATCGGCCACAGCAAACCACATGGCTGAGCTCAGAATCAAGCGGTGGGGAAATACACTTTTTCTCTTAATAGGAGAAACCATAAGGCCATGAGACAAAAGGGTGTGGATATAGGAAGGTGTAAAGAATTGGGATCTTTGATGCATTTTGCCCACAAGCTCAAGGATAGATTCCTCTTTGCTTTCCTACATACAGTGTCTAGCCTGTGTCATATACAGATGTGTCCATTACCAATTGCTTTGCAACAGACTACCCCCAAACTTAGTGTCTTAAAACATCAGCCATTGTGTTTGCTCATGATTCCATGGGTTGGCCAGTTGGTCTCAAGGGAGATGGCTCACCTCTGCTCTATGTAATATCAGTGGGTTCGCTCATGTGGCTGCAGATTGAACTGAAGGATGTATAATTCACATGACTGGCCCCTCTGCTGGGATTGCTGGGACATTAATACTCATTTCCTTCACAATCTTCCAATTTCCAAGGCCCTCTCTCTACATCATTTCCCCAGCAGGTAGCTAGCCTTTTTTTTTTTTTTACCTGACCATGTCAGGGTTCTAGGAAGATGAAATCAGAAGGCAGGGGCTCTTGAGGCAAAAACTTGGAAGCTGCCCAACATCACTTCTGAGCATTCTGCTGGTCAGAGAACATCAAGATGTAGCCTAGATTCCACGGGAGGAGACATAGACCCCACCTTGTAATGAGAGGGGTGGCAGAGTTACATGGTGACAGGTGGAATGAGAGGGATTCTGCCACAACAGTGAGAGGCTCAGTAAACACTTGTTGAATGAACTTTCGAACAAATGAATGAAGTGGGACCAGGGTTCGCTTGTGAAAACGACTCCAGTATAGGATTCTGATGCAATGAAATTCTGATGCACCAATCTCTCTACTTTCTAGTTGTCTTCAGTTTTGACTGATGCAAACTCAGATGATGGATTTTCCCAGATCCGCTGGCATCAAACAGCAGACTTTGGCTATGTCCCCAACAAAAGGATGCCCAACACTTTCATGGCTGTAGCTATGGATCTCTGTGACAGGGACTCGCCTTTCGGCAGGTATGGCTGCTTCTTGGGCTTTGCTTGAGTAATAATATATCTCCTTTGTCTGTGGCCTTCACTGTGATGTTCACTTGTGAGGGAGGGAGAGAGTAGATGGTCTAAGGATTGGGCCTTAGAAGCATTATCTACAGTCATTTACACTGGGATGTGCTGCAGTAACAAAAAGGAACCCTCAACATCTTAGTGCTTTGATGCAACAAAAATTTATTTGTTCATGCTACATGTCCAGAGGTCATCAGAGAGGCTTTGCCATCACAGCCATTCACAGATGCAGAGACACAAGTTCCAAGTCAGCCTATACTTCCACAGTCACCTTTAAGTCCCGCAGTTGAGTGCTCTCCCTGGAAGTAACACAAGTCACTTCTGCCCACCTTGCATGGGCCACAGCAGCCATGTGGCCATGTCCAGCTTCAGGGAGAGCTGCAAACGTGATTCTAATTCTACCACGGCGTCAGAGGAGCAGTGGGGTGTTTGTGAGCAGCCCCTCTGACTGCCACATGCTAGTTGTAGGATACAAGGGGGTTTCAATGCAGCCTAACACTCAGGGTCTGGATTATAGTACGAGCTAAACTAATATTTATTTTTGAATGAATGATTATTTCTTGAATGAACAAATAGAACCTGGAGGGGACCAAATAGTGAACAGCTGTTTCAGATGAAACACAGGATATGTTGGTTGGAGTAGCCTTATGAGTTAACTCTCCTTGGTTAGTTCTACTATCCCCTATCTCCTCTCCGCCTTTACTTCTTCCTTCCAAGTCATCTGTTATTTCAAGGTTTCCAACCCATAGAAGGCCCAGAGCCCCATCTGATTACCATTCACCATTTCTCTTAAGCTGACCAGCCACTGATCACTGGCTCTTAGATTCAGTCAACTTTATTCTCACCTTCTTAAAGGCTGCTTTGTATATATTATTTCCTTTTTAAAAAGCATGGTTATTACTGAGCTCAAACCCAATGTTCTCTACTTGTGGTTTGTCCTGTAGCATCCACCCTCGAGATAAACAGACTGTGGCCTACCGGTTGCACCTGGGGGCCCGTGCTGTGGCTTATGGTGAGAAGACACTGACTTTTCAGGGACCACTGCCCGAGAAGATAGAGCGCTTGGCCGACAAGGGGCTGCTCAGCATCACATATTCCCAGCAGATCCTGGTGCAGAGGCAGGATGACAAGATATTTGAGGTGAGAAGAACAAGCACAGTAAGGGTCCCTCCTGTTTGGGGCATCAGGGTTTCCTCCACAGTGAGGCCTCTCTTTAATATGACTGTGAGGCAGGACTTGGTTGGTGGGGAGCTGAGTTTGTCTCAAGGGGGCAAATAAGCAACTCTTATTTCATTTGTTTAGAGCAGTGATTTTCAACCTGTTTCATCTCATGGCACATATAAACTAATTACTAAAATTGTGCGGCACACCAAGAAGTATATTTTGTGCTAATCTGACCAAAAAAAAGTCTAATTTTGATTCACAGCAGATGGCTATTGCTGTTTGCTGTTGTCATTTTTTTATTTGATAATCTCAGGGAAAAGAGGTCAGTGCCCTGACTAAATAGACAGGTATAGCATGTTTTAAAAATTCATGTGGCACACCAGTTGACAATTGCTAACTTAGAGGCAATTTTGATAGGACAAAGATGGGAAAATGAGTCCATATTAAAACGATACCCCTTTTGTATTTTCCCTCCCAAAGCAACCATCTTTGCTCTGGGCAGGGCCTGCAACTTTACTTGTAGGTTACCTATTGAAAGGATCCTTGTTCCAGAATACTTCCCTCATCCGTGGATCTCTCTTATCCTAAATTCTGATATTTTTGTGAGTTTACTGTCTCCTTTAAGAGGCTTAAGCTTGGTGATTTGTAACTTAGTGTGGATTTGTATAATGAAACTACCTGCTCCTAATACCTAGCAAGGATCATTCCACTGTGGAACTGGGACTATTGATTAAAGAGGTTAAGAGTCTTCTGTAGTTGGGGGTGGAGGTGGCCGCATTCCTAGATGGAACATTTACATGAGTGCCGGGGAATCAAGAGGCCGTTAGGCTGGGGCTGGGGGTGTATGAAAAGAGGGCACTGGAGGAGATGAAAGAATATTTAAGACAAACTAGTCACACAGGCGTTTATCAAGGGCAGCTTCTCCTCTGAGTCCTGACTACAAATCTACTTGCCTCAGGTGCTTGGTCAGTGCTCATGCCACTTAGCTTCTGGACACTGGGTTTTAGGTGAATTTAACTCCCCAAAGTTTCTGCATTCTGTGTTCTCCACTTTCATCAGTATCTGGTGGTCCATCATCTGGACCCAGAAACACAGTTGTGGTCAGGTCAGGTTTTACCTGTAGGTACTGGATCACTTATGTCCCCTTCCCTGGATTGCTTTCTGACCTGAAAAAGGTTCATTATCCAGAGGTTTCTTTGTGCCTCTCTTCATCCTCAGCTCCTTGGCAGAACCACAGGGGAGCAGCAAATGGACTGCTTGGCTCACTCAGTCCTGCTTTGCCATTTGTCGGGAAGGTGACAGCAAGGATGTTTGGGGAACCTTCCCCAAATGCTGGATGTGATTGTGCTTCCTTGTCCCCCTCAGTAACTTATGCTTTGTTGATTGAAATTATTTATTTCATCACATGAACATTTATTATCAAGCTGTGGCTATGTTGACCAGACCAGACTCAGGTTTGCTCCATTTACTATAGGAAGTGGGTTTCTGGCTAAAAGTGGCTCTTTCTCTCCCTTACAGTCTGTCTGAAAGAGCAGCTCCCAGCCTCTAGGAATATCCTTCTACCTGACCTGACCCTTCCTATTTATGACTCTCTCATTAGATCTCGTGTTGTTGTGATGATCAGTGCAAGTGGCTTCCAGCTCCCATGAACACTTTCTCCACCCGGACCCTGGCCCTGAATATCAGTTCTTGTGATGGTGCTCTGGTTGCTCTCCGCTATGCCTGGACCACATGGCCTTGTGAATATAAACAGTGTCCCCTGTACCACCCCAGCAGTACCCTGCCAGCTCCTCCCTTCACTGCTTTCATTGAAAACCAGATACCCAGATATCACAGCAAGGTTGCTAAATGATTTAGTTGCGGTATGATCATATTTTAAACATAATGACAAAAAAAAAAAGGGTATAATTTTGATTCACAGCGATGGCTACTGCTGTGTTGGCTGTTGTCATTTTTTTATTTGACAGTCTAAGGGATTGTCCCTGACTAAACAGTCAGGTACTGCATGTTTTAAAAATCAGATTTGGGCATTTAGGAGTTTAAATGAAGACAACTGTTGCTTAACAGAGAAATCTTGTTGGACAGTTCCTAGCTAGCACATGGCTGTTTCTATATTCTGAGAAGAGCCAGAGCTGGTAAACAATGAAATGCCTGCCTACNACAGTTCCTAGCTAGCACATGGCTGTTTCTATATTCTGAGAAGAGCCAGAGCTGGTAAACAATGAAATGCCTAGTTAGGCTGGTTCCTGTATTGGGCTCATGCCAACCTACAAGCAAACTGAACCTGTGTCATTCACGTCCTCATAATTGGGAGTGCAATATCCAGGTGGCCTACATGGCCTTGGAAGTTCTTCCAACCCGTTTCTACCATTCTAGGTGTACAGGGACTGTGTTAGATGTCTCGCTCTAAGCCAAACACACTTCTGCTCTTGCAGTCTCAATAATGATAATGTTAACGTTGGGAGCTAACAAAGCAGAACCATGTGTAGGCACTTGGAGAGGTACTGAGGATCAGCCTTAGGAATGCAAACGCGAGGTGGTAATAAAGACGACGCTCAGGTTGCCAGTAACAGGTCTGGGGGATCACAAGCTTGGAAAAATGTGACATTGGAGATCACTGAGAGGCAAGCAGGTCATTAGTTAAATATAAATCTCAGGATCTTTAAAGGTAAAAGTTTTAACTATAAAAATGATAATTCAGATGGAAGGGAAAAGTGAGGCTGAAAGGAAAGCTACACGATAAACACTAAGAAAAATGCTGCCTGTGGGACAAATATGAAAGAGTGCTTTTGTATGTGCTGTTAAAGAATCATGATGCTGTTTATTGGTTGATTAAAAACAGCTAAGGGACTTGATAATTGTGTGTTGTCTATTAGAAGTTAGAACTAAAAGTACACAGTCATGCATCGCTGGACAGGGATACAGTGTGAGAAATGCGCCATCAGATTTGTCATGTGAGCATCAGACTGCACGTACACAAAGCTAGATGGTATAGCCTACTGCTCCTGGGCCACAAGCCCACACAGCATGTTACTGTACTAAATACTGTCGGTAACTGTAACACAGTAGTATCTAAACCTATCTAAACACACAAGACGTACCGTAAAAATATGATACTTGCAATCATCACACCACACTTAATTTCCTTAGGAAATAAATGTGGAATAACAGGACAAATAAATTTAAAATTTTGACACCTTCAGCTTTACCCTCTCAAGGGTCCAACATTTACAGTCCCACCGAGGTACAGTACCACTTTTTATCTCGTTCTCACTGATACTGCATGTTGTCAAGTTTAAAAAATCTTTAACAATCCAGTAGATGAAAAGATTTTAAGTATAATATGGTAGTATTTTTCAAGTTTTTAAAAATGATAATCCATAGGAAAAACATTTGATAATCCATGCATATGTGATATTTATATAAATACATATATAAACACTGTAGTTGATACCAAAGTTTCAACCTTTTGACATTCAATGCATTCCAATATATTCTAATTATTTAATTTTAAAAGATGTACATCTTGACACCTTAAATTTAAGAACAAATGGGTTCTTTCTGTTTTAGGAAAGCTACAGAGTGAGTACTCTTTACTAAGAGTAAACAACACACACTTATTAAAAAATTTTAATGTTTTTCTTAAAATGAGGCTCTCTTAGTATGTTTTACTCAGGCTGTAATAGAATAGAAAGATATTTTCTATATGATAAAAGTAGCATTATAATTTCTGTGTAAGTACAAATATGTTCAGGCAACTTACACAGACAAAAGGAAAATATTAAAACATTAACAGCTTTGAGTTAATACCATTCCCATCCTTGATTCCCCATAATCCAAATTATATTAACTTTTGCACTGTAAAAGCTATACAAACATAAAAAAAACTATAATTAGAAGTCATAAAATTAATGTTACTTGCTTCTGATACCTTATAGTGACCAGTGTGGTGTGCTCTCAGCAACGCTGAGCCCCTCTGCTGGCCAAATCCATTCCTGTAAGATGTTAATCCCACTTGCTTTGTCCTGGGTTAGCAGTTATGGATTGTAGCACAGTAACAATGCAGCTCTCACCAAAGGGATCTGACCCCAGTCTTCTACCTCTGGGGTCCCTTTATTCCTTCCCATTCCAGCCAGCCCTGGGACCAGGACGGCTCCTCACTGGGATGCCCTCACTGCCATCCAGCAGCTGCTGGGGAGTGGCCCGGAAGGGGTGATGTGGTAAGCCCCCGTCTGAATGCCATAAGCAGGTTCCAGACAATTCAGTCGCACCGAATGCGGAGTTATGCCATTACACAGTTAATGAAATGACAGGGTGAGTCTGTTATGGAGGCTGGGAGCCAATCCCCAATCATATTTAAATTTGTGTTATCATGCAGTTTCAATGTACTTAGTTAAAAGCACATTCTCCAAGAAGCCACAAAGGACGTAGAAAGTGTTAAAGATAACCTTTTGATCCCCTTGAAGGATGTGACATGTGAAGAAATGGACGAAGTGTGCTTTGGCTGGACTCTCCAGCATGGGATGAGCAGGACTTGATTTTCATGACCCCGACACAAAAATAAAACCACCACTTCGGGTGCAGGGGGTGGGACTTAATATTCCTTGGAATAGGATCAGAATCAGGGGTAGAAGGTTGTCAGGATCTGCCTCCTTGATGAGCCAGCAGCCATCTCTCACTCTGGTTAATACAGGCCTTAAGTTTACCTGAGGCAGAGCTGAGCGAAACAGATCATGTCCTGATGACAAGATGAAAATACGCAGAAGCATCAAGAGAAATTTATTACTAAAAATAAAGCAGGTGAAGTTTTTCCCAGGGAAAACTGTCACCATGGGAACCTCCACGACAAAATGTGTGAACTTAGTATCTTCACTTCTGAATTGCTGCCTCCTTCCATATATTTTAAGTTTTAGTTTAAGTTAAAATCATCATGATGAAAACGATGTGGTATCTGATCCCTTCTTGTTCAATCTGAAGACTGTGTTGGGCTACACTGTGGAGGAGACTTCAGGTGCTGTAGGTGATCATCTACCAAGGGTTCATGTGTCAGGAACATGGGTTGGTAAGAAGACACAAAGGCTGTAGGCTGAAGCTCCGGGAGGTCCAAGGATCCTGGGCAAAGAGTGGGAGTTTTAATTCTATATTTTCTTATTTCCATTTCAGAGCTCTCCCTATATGATCCCAGTGCCGATCCTGGTTGCTCCACCCATTTATGGTAGGGAATCAATGGAACAGAGGCAGGACCAAGGCCATGACTTGATTCCCTTTACCCCACTTGGAATCTTAGTCCTGCACAGTAAACTTTCTCCTGAGGGCCTGCTTAGGTCTTAACTTCAGAAGAAAATGAGAAACCCTAGTTTCTCCGTGGGCCCTGCCTTACTGTGATCACAGCCATGCCCTGTGACTTCTGTGAGGAGTGCTGAGAGCTGCGCAGCAGGTCCTCCTGGCTCAGGGCTCTCCAAGATTGGAGCAGTGAAAGCTGCCCAGACAGTTGGGGTACTCAGCTATGAATGAAGTGGGGAAGAGTAGCCTAAAAATGCTCAAGTTTCAAACCAGAAAGGTAGTATTAAAAGATACCTTGTAGAATGGGATCACCATGATCTTCATCAAAGGTCTGTCTCTGAAAGGCTGCAAAGCTTACAGCTGCATCATTCTCCAGAGGTCCTTGGGGTGGCTGCCCATCTCCAGGTTTGCACACATCAAATTTCACCCACTGGTAACTACAGGGTCAAAGGGAATGATTATCAAGAGCTGCCTTAGCCACACCCATTCTTAACCTCCAATGACATCAGGTATTTTATTCTGTAGATTTCTCCAATATGTTTCTAACAACATATTAACTAAAAAAACTTTAAAAAGATAAATAGGTTCCTTTAGTGACACTGCCGACTTCCTTTTGCTGTCACGGTACACACAGAAAATGCATGCTTTGTGCACAGAAGTAGCTCAATAATGTACAAATGAACCAAACAGTTTAGGCCCCTGGGCCACTCATCACGGAACTTCTCTCAGGGGAATGGATTTGACCACACTTACTTGACACATTTTCGAGCTCCTGGACAACTCTGGATCAGGTTGTGGATGGTTGGATGAGCAAACCCAAAGAAGTCACCTCCAGATGGAAGGAGGTTAGGCATTAGTTTCCCCCTAAATAAGAGAGGGAGAATTTTAATTCAAGCACTTCGAGGGAGATGAGAATGGGTTTAGGGATGAAATGGGGGCATGAACACTCAGAGGACGCTTTCTTGACCTGGAGACTAGATGCTAAGACATCTGCAGTATGAAAGAAAGCATTCTAAAAATAAGGGATCCCTGCTCATTAAAAGCAAGAGAAGAGGTCTCACTGTATCAAAGTGATGTTTTTGTTTGTCTTCAAGCTGTTGGTCAACTTACAAAGTAACACTTATGGCCTTGAGCAGTTCTGCATGGCAGGCATCTGCCGAAGAGCTGACAATGGCATTCTGAGGGTCATCTTCAGGAACGATTTCAAACTGAGAAAGACAACACAGACTTGAAAGCAATTTTCAAGGAAAAGGTAGTAGAGAGAAAGTCATACTACTCCTGTAACTATTCGTCACATCAACTTGAAGCTGATGTATACCATGCTAGGAGATGGGTACAATTTCTTACAGTGCTCTTAAAAATGCAAACAAGTCAAAGAAAAAAAGAGTCCTTTGAATGTTTTAATTCTATATTCCTGGCTTGACTGCTTTCCAGAGGTCAACACTTCATTGGTTACATCCTTTCCAGACCCCCTTCTATCCACTTACATCTGTAAGTACAAGTGGTACCTTAAAAACATGTGAAATCATTTTCCATGTCATCTTACATCTAAGAGGAGTACAGGCCGTTTTGACTGCAAACCCCATTTCAATTTATTATTTGTATTTTTTGAAATGCAAAATACCTTGATATTTATAAACTGTTAAATCAAAATTATACTAATAGGAATTTTTGCGAAGAAAGTATTTTTGTAATAAGCACTATCTAGCCAACTTAATTCCTTGACCAGTTTTCTATAAAGTTCAATGAATTTTTGCAAAGAAAAATACCTGAGGCTGTACACCACCATCCTTGATCTGACAAGTATACAGACACCTCTGGTCTGGGCACTTCATGCTGGCATATACTCGAGTACTGCAGTAGCCCACAGGGTAGATGGCACTCTCGTCATGGAAGCCAGGTCGGTCGGTGATGATCTATAAAAAAAAAAATTCCCACAACCTGCAACTGAGGTCACTAGAGAATTCAGATGTCCAGTGGACCACAGGTAGCCTTTGGAACCACTTTGGGGCTGCAGAGAGTGACTTAAATCACACGAAAGAGTGTAGGCAATGTTGCAGACAAAACCGACCTGGTTCCTAGGGACAGATGTTCTGGGGTTGGTCTGGAACAGCAAGGGGCTGCCACTAACGGGAACAGGGAGAAAAGGCTCAACCCCATTCCCATTATTTCTGATTCTCCTCTCTGTATATCGCTGGTCTCACTCACCTCCCCCAGGCTATATACTGTTAGACCCCCCAGTCCGATGGGGAACACAGGCCGTCCTGAGGGATCCAGGGCAATGGGCTGAACCAGCTTGCGAGCACCTCCCTCCATTTTCTTTCTCTTGGATGTTTTCTTCAGAACTGAAACGCAAATCTGGGGTCACCCACTTTAGGCCCCTCCCGATGCTAAGGGGAAGGGAAAACTTTACATGTAAGTGCTAAGAGCAATAAGCCAATTCTGGTTCCACACACTCACAGAATGGGCACATGGGCCCTTCCCCCAAAGCCCTGAGCATCTTTCTAACCCACCCAGCTAGCAGTAACCACTTTTAATATTACTGCTTAGGATCTCAAAGCTTTATACTTTTTAAGGCCTCTTCACTTTTAGTATCAGAAATTTCCCAAGCCAGCAGTGTGCTCTAAAGGCCACCTAGGTCATTTCCCTGCCTGTACGAAAGACTGAACTGAAGGCAACCCAGAGAGTTGGGGTTAGGGAAGAAGGGGGAGGCCTCAGCCTGCTCCCTTGCACCTGACCAGGTCTAACTGGAACTCGTTAGTATCAGGTCTTTGTCAACAGTTGCTGAGCCACTGGTGCAACTGATATCCCCTCCAAGGTACCTTCCAGTTTGTTGTTCTCTTTGCCTTTTTCTTTTTTCTCCTTCTTGGATTTCTTCCCAAATGGTTCCTCAGCCCCAGTGCTAGGCCCAGAAATGGGCCCAGATCCCTGTAGAGTTCCCACAGAGCTGGCCACACCGTAAGTCAGGGGCAAATTGGAGCTGTGAGAAGGAGCTACAGGCTGCACTTCCCCTTCAGTTAGAGCCTGAAGCTGGAGGAGCTTCTTTAGCAAGTACCTAAGGTTGGGAAGCAAAGGAAGCAGATGGATGAATTTCCGTTTTTTCTCAAGTCAGTATTTTACTTAAGTACTGGGAAAAGCCCCAACTACACACAAAGATTATTACACTCATAAAAATAACATTCTTATTGGACTCTGAGAATAATGGAGCCCCAGAGGGTATTACTCAAGGAGCCAAGGATAAAGGACTGTGGTGTATCTCTGTGCACCTGGAGCGTTGCTCTACCTTGATGTTGGAGGGTGTTAGGCTTCTGAAGGGCATATACCATGAACTGCATACTCACTGGGCTTTGCACTTAGTACACACTGAATAAATAGTTGCAGAATTAGAGTTTCTTTTATAATTGGTGTTATAATCAGGTTACTGATTAGTTGTGGCAAGGGGGCTTTATCAGAAAGATGAATAGAGGCCCTATTCATCACTATAGTCTAACACGACCTGGGTAAACAGGAAACAACACCACAGGCTGTGAGTTTGGACTTGATCACTGGTCAGCGGGCTGTGCAATGCACAAAAATCACACTGGAGAAAAATCCCCAGGGCAGTAACACCACATCAATCACCCAAACTGAGGTTCTCAACACAAAATGAAGTCCGCTCACCGCCTTTCCTCTTTTGCTTTGAGAAATTTTTCCTCAAGACGAGCGATTTCATCACAAATGGCAGCATTTTCCTTTAAGGAAAAAAAATTGAATATAATCACATAAAATGAATAAAAGGTCTAAGTTCTACGCTGGGAAGAAGAGTTCTATTTTCAAACCAAAGAAGTCTCTGTTGTTAGGTAAGGAGAAGAACTAGCCTACCCTGCAAACTAAAAAACCTACAGGTAACGGTAGAGCTATGGGCAGGGTAACTACAGAATTTATCAAACTGGGTACCTTTGAGTAAAAAGGGGGCCCTATTAATGATTATGCCAGAACAATATGGTAAACGAGGGCTGCTCCAGGCAAACCAAGATGTGCAGTCATCCTAAGCAGGGTAGCCTTTGCCAGAGAAAAGGGCACACCGCTTAAAACCACAGACTAAGTTTAAATGCAATTCTTATAAATACGAGGAACGCTAATTCCCAAGTACTTCCACTCTTGGGGAGCTTACAAAATCAGCCTAACCCAAAGCAATATGAATCTTAAAGAGAAAAGCTGGATGGAACAAAATCAACTCCAGTATGTAAAATTCTTAAACTTCATAATCTACTTGTTCAAGTACTGTCTGTGTTTACTGATGACTCCATCTATTTCCCAAGCATGGGTACTGAAGGGAATGCTCCGCTCTGGGTGTTCACAGGCGGGGCCTCAAACTCTGAATGTTCAAAACAATAGCTCTTTTCTTCACGAAACCTTTATTGAGGACTTAATGGAACCAAAGTCCCTTTAATAACACAGGCTCCTAGCTTTATATGCCTTTGATATATAGGGAATAAAAGAAAGATATCAAACCCTCTTAATTCTCCTTTTCTTATTTCTCTGCAGTGCACACAGCAAGTGCTAAATAAGTGTTTTGGGAACGAATGTGCTAATTTCCAAACCTTTCCTTGTGCTTCCAAAACAAGTTGAGAGCTTTTCCAGTTTTGGGTAGAAAGAAGAGGGAAGGTGGTGATTCAGATGTGGGGGGACCTTTAAGGACTCCACTCCCCATTTCCAGACACTGAGGCCAGAACATTTTAAAACAAAGTGTGGCTGGCAAACCAGTTCGTTCATCCAATAAACCCAGTGCCTCTACAATAAAAGGAGGGCAGAAACCCTTGGGAGACTCAAGAGAGTCTAGTTAGAAGGCGCTAAATCACTGCAAACTTCACGTATGCATCTGTTTAGGGAAGGGGTACCCGGGTGCTTAGGAAACAGGCTGGGTAGTGGAAGTAATAAAGGAGCTAGAATCGGTGTTAAGGGGTGTCAGGGCTCTGCCACAGCGCCCTTAAGCAAATCATCTCTCTGGGCTTCAGTGTTATTTAACAGGTAGGAAACAGGATTACAGGAGTGACGTGACCTGTCCGAGGACACTAGGCTACCGAGAAGCGATGTAAACTGCAAAAGCTGACACTACGCTACCACTGCCTCTCTGGGGAGGGGACGGTTTGGGGAGCTTTCGCGAATTCGGGGTGTCGAGGCGCAGAGGCCCAGCGCGTCGCACTCACAAACACCGTGGCCTTGGCGGCCTTGCGCAGCCGCAGGTACTTGAGCCGGTACTTCTCGTTCTGGCCCCGCTTCGGGAGCTTTTTCATCCTGGCCTTGGACGGCGGCGCGGCCCGCGGCGAGGGGGCGAAGCCACCCAGCAGGCTCATGG